ACCTCCAAGTACCGCCCCTTTGTTTCCTCCCCCTACCCACCTCCAAGTACCGTCCCTTTGTTTCCGCCCCCTACCCACCTCCAAGTATCGTCCCTTTGTTTCCGTCCCCTACCCACCTCCAAGTACCGTCCCTTTGTTTCCGCCCCCTACTTGCCTCCAAATACCGTCCCTTTGTTTCCGCCCCTACCCACCTCCAAATACCGTCCCTTTATTTCCGCCCCCTACCCACCTCCAAGTACCGTCCCTTTGTTTCCGCCCCCTACCCACCTCCAAGTACCGTCCCTTTGTTTTTGTCCCCTACCCACCTCCAAGTACCGTCCCTTTGTTTCCGCCCCTTACCCACATCCAAGTACCGTCCCTTTGTTTCCGCCCCCTACCCACCTCCAAGTACCGTCCCTTTGTTTCCACCTCCACCCACCTCCCAGTGCCGCCCTTCTTGGGGAATAAAGAACCAAGTTTTACTTTGTGATGCTAACTAATTTCTATGAAATGTATTAATGATCACAAGAAAAACTAAAACAGACCACCCCATAACAAAATACCCGCTCAGGAACAATAGATCCACTCCAGCAGCAACCGACTACTGCCAGCAACAACAGATCAGCCAGCATCACTAGATCTTCTAGCAGCCAACAGCAAAAGACCCCTCCCTCTACAATAGATGCCTATTAGCAACAATTTACCCTCCAGGCAACAGTATATCCTCCACCAGCAACAATAGACCCCCCCAGCAACGATAGATCACCCCCATCAGATTCCCATCACCCCCATAATCAGTAGACCCTCCAGTACACTCCAGCGCTCCTTGCCATCACAAACATTCAGTGTGGGAGGGTTGCGAAACTGCATTCCCACAGAAAAAAAATCCCTGGTTGTTACCAGTTTAGCTAGTATTAGCTTTCCTTTAAAACAAATTGCTGAAAATAGAAACCGCTAAAAATCAACACTTGCATCAACATGCGAGCATCATAAAATTCTTAAGCCATATAAAACACTAAACACCAACATCAGCAAGCGTCACAACATGGCGGTGCCTACTTCCCTCACTCCAGATTACTTCTTGAACTGCTTCGGCAAATGTGGGTTCCTGCAAGTTGGCAAAAGCACGCCCACCACCTGTGTCCCACAATGCAATAACGAGGCCTGGGACACCGTTACATTGTAGATAAGTTGGAAAAAGAGACACAGATCCATCCAGTTGACCTATTATGAGATCCAACTCAGATGCACTAAGGAGTTCAGCATGCCATGGGGCATTCTGGGGGTCCGACGGGTAAAACCGGACGTATGTACTGGTATCTCGGAGCCTTGATGCATGTGTGGTGTAGGGAAGAGCACATTACCGGTGATGCTGCCTAATGAAATCCTTTATTGAAGATTCAGCAAAACCACCTTGGGAACACTCGAAATCTGTTATGTGTTTTATGCTGGACATCACTTAGTCACTTTTAGCTCTATAATGGTGTTGGGTGTGAAATGTGTTAGAGGTTTCGATGTTTTTGCTGAATCTTCAATAAACATTTGTATGTGCAGTATTGGCGATCTGTTCCATCACACCTCCATACGTCTTATGGTAATGAGGCAGGCAAGCACCTGGGACTACTGCAGGAACTCATTTGTTGCCTTCTACTTTTTTTTTCTATGATCCGAAGAGACAAGAGTATGTCTCTCCATAAAACCTATTTCCCTTTTTACGAACAATTGTATACGAACGGTCATGCCTGCACAGTGCACTGCGCAATTTTGGCATCTGTAAGATGCCGGGAGTTAGAGCCAGATGATAGGACGATGTATGTGGGGGAGTCATGTCAACTGTGGTGACCAATGGCTGATTAGGGGCCACCACTCATTCCCACGTTTTAACCTCTTGCCAATCTTAACATTTTTGCTTCCGTGGCAGTGGAGATTTCCACGCTCCAGCACAGCGATTAAGCTGGCAGCGATAGATCGGTCTGTTCTGTAGTGTGTGCTAAGGTGGCCCACGGGAATGAATGGTGGCACCCAGTACCTGTGTGGTACAATATGCTCACAGAGGGAAGATGTTTCTTCAAGAGGTGGCACTTCACTGCGCTCATTGTACTGGGGCAGGGGCGGACTGACCATTTGGAAACTCGGGCACTGCCCGAGGGCCCGGGGTCAGTAGGGAGCCCCATGAGATGCCCCTGGTACCTTTTTCATAGCCTTGTTTGAGTTTGGGCAAGGACACAGGGGCCCCATGAGCCCCTATTGCCCGGGGGCCCCAAGAGTTGTCAGTCTGCCCCTGTACTGGGGGTAGGTCCATGGATAAGGGAGTACCACCAGTCCTCCTGTACAGGGCCCATGCCAGCAGGGGGGCCCAGGCAGCTGGGTGAAGCGTATGTGGGCAGGGAGGGTGAGCAGCACGCCGGTGGGGGGGGGGCAACTGCAGAAACCAATTCCCTGTATGGCCCTCTGCAGCTGCTGAAAGCTGCTGCTTCTTCTCCTCTCCCCCCCTTCTCTGGCTTTCAGCTGCTTCAGAGAGAGACATACAGGGGATCGGTTCCAGTAATTTACCAGCCCCTTCCTTTCCTGTATGAACACAATGAGTGGTCGGTACTGTGTGCATTCATAAGTGAAGCATAGTAAACAGTTTTTTGTGGGGATGGGGGGAGCCCTGCCAGGTTGACTGTATGGGGAGCTGTGGTTTGGGGGCCCTGTCAGGTTGGCTGTAGGGGGCCCCATGGTTTCTAACAGCAGCCTTGACTGGGGGTCCTAGAGCTCTTGTGGGTAGGCCCAGATTTAGACCTTGGGGGGACCCGGGTACTTCAGGTTTGGGGAGCTCCTCACACACAGAGTTGGTTTACATTGTCAATGGCAGTCACACATTTTTATAAGGCATGACCCAACATCATTCTGAGGTTGCACATGCGCAGTCATCGCTCTTTAAGTGTGGTTCACTTGAGCCGCTAAAAGTGATACAATAAGCCAGTCCAGAGTAAAAAGCTGCACAGATGATGGACGGCAAAATATTACTTCCCAAGATACATTTTAAAAAAGTAACTTTTTGTTATGGGCAGCACAGTGGCTGAATGGTTCGCACTTCTGCCTGCCAGTACTCGGGTCGTTAGTTCAAATCCCAACCATGGCACCACCTGCCTGGAGTTTGCATGTTCTCCCTGTGCCTGTGTGGATTTCCTCCAGGTACTCCAGTTTCCTCCCACACTCCAAAGACATGCTGGTAGGTGAATTGGCTCCTGTCTAAATTGTCCCTAGTATGTGTATGTATGAATGTGAGTTAGGGACCTTAGATTGTACACCCCTTGAGGGTTAGGGACTGATGTGAATGTACAATATATATGTGAAGTGCTGTGTAAATGAATGGTGCTATATAAGTACCTGTAATAAATAAATAATTATACATTTTATATTTATTTATAATTATATATATATATATATATATATATATATATATATATATATAATTTTTTTTTTTAAATATATTGTTTTATTAAATTTATGTATAGAGGGAGGCCCAGGGCAGTTGCCCCTTTTTGCCCCCCTTATAAATCTGGCACTGCTTCTGAGAGTGTTTTGTCTTCAGTCATTGGTTGGCCACAGTCATAGTCCTGTCACTTGGCTCTTATTCCTTTTTTTTTTTTTTTTCAGCGAGCAGGTTGAGGTGTCACCTCATCCAGAGAAGGCTTTGCATTCACTGAGAAAAATGAAAAGTGTTTGAGGGGCACATGTGCCGAGTGGGGGACTTCTGTTCAGTAAGCAGCATGGCAGCTGCTTGGCACAGGACCCAGAAGCTAGCGGTGATCACTGTAGTAGCCCTGCCTGCTGCAGTGATTTCCAGCTTCCATGAGGATTCCATAGGTATGGCACATAACATACGTCTATACATAGTTACATAGTTAGTCTGGCTGAAAAAAACAAAAGTCCATCCAGATCAACCATAGAAAAAAAAAAAAAAAAAAGGTCCAATTATTATTATACAGGATTTATATATTATTATTGTACAGGATTTATGGCGCCAACAGTTTGCGCAGCGCTTTACAATATAAAGGGAGACAATACAGCAACAATACAATTTGGTACAAGAGGAAACAGAGGGCCCTGATCCTGGGAGCTTACAATCTAGGAGGAAGGGTTGAGTGATACACAAGGTAATAGCTGAGGGGGGAGGAGCTGCAGGAGGAAATAAATGGCAGTTATTACTAGGTAGAAGCAGGATAGGCTTCTTTTAAAGAGAGAGGTTTTCAGGGATCATCTAATGGTGGATAGATTAGGAGACAGTCGGACAGATTGGGGTAGGGAGTTTCATAGGATGGGAGAAGCTCGGTAGAAGTCCTGGAGGCGAGCATAGGAGGAGGTGACACGGGAACTAGAGCGCAGAAGGTCTTGGGAGGATCGAATAGAGCGGTTTGGTTGATATTTTGAGACCATGTTGGTGATGTAGCTGGGGGCAGAGTTGTGGGTGGCTTTGTAAGTAATGGTCCAAGCAGGACCAATGTCAGGATATAAAAGTTGCCATAGCTGGAATTCGGCGTTAAAGCAAAATCATTTTTTGTCTGTTATTTGGATTAGTAAGGAGAAGTGTTCGGTGATGCAAGGCAGAAATACTAACCACTAAGCCACCGTGCAGAGATTTCCTCCAACTCCTCTACTACAGGGAATGAAGGGAAATTTCCCCAAGTAGAGACACAGCAAAAAAAACAGCTGTTCTAACTTATTGGCTATAGATATTTTATTTTAGGACAAAATTGAGATCCTCAAAGAGCCCCTTACCCCCAGATTCCCTGACAATATAGGAGATGGTGGATGACACCCCATGTGTCGGCCTAATTTACCTAAAAGAATAGCTCCATGTATATCTGTTACATCCTGTTCCAACTTCTTGTTTCTCTAAATGTTCTCTATGTCATTAATTTTCCACCGCTGATGTCCTGGTCCCCTCTTTCTGTCCTTCAATCTGCACTGCTCTGATCATTTGCTCACAATGGGATCAATTTGTCATGTGTGAATTATTTTCCTCCCTTTAGGAACCAGCTCAATTATATTACAGAGGAGCTTAAAAATCCATACAGGTAAGACGTGTGCTCACTAAACGCCATTGATTTATTACTTGTAATTTGTAGAAGTACAAAATAGATTTAGGTATCGACCCGCGGGTGTTTAACTCCTCGTCTGCCGGTACGAGCTGCGGGAAATGTAATGCTGAGGTCATATTGGAGGGCACAAAGCCAGTTTATGTGGCAAGCAGGTCGTATTGGCCCTAGTTAATGGTGAGAGCAATGTCAGGGGTGCTAGGCAATGATTTGGCCATAAATCTCAGGCTTGCCTGGCTTCAGCTGAGTTGTGACAATAACCTAACAGACTGCTAGTACTGTAAGCTATTGTATACATACTAGGCTCTACTAGGCACTGGGGCTCCTCATGGGAGGGGACAGCAACATCCATTGGGAGGCAGGCAAAGGGATGAGGCCAGCCATGGAAGTGCTATAAATGTGGACTTTCTCCTGAAACTTGACTGGTGTTACAGAACTGGAAGTGTCCAAAGGATGACAAGGAGCATCTCTGAGCAGTTGGTTAGACTCTCCCTTTCCTATGTGTAACACAATTCTCATGAGATATATATATATTTATATACACACACACACATATACAGTGGTGTATTTTGGTTTTGTGCTGCCCTAGGCAACAAAAAAGAGAGAGATGAAGGGGTGGAGTTGGTTGGTGTCAGGCTCTCTCCCCTGGGGGGCCTCCAATTTTTTTGTTGCCTATGGCAGCACAAAACCAAAATATACCACTGTATATGTATATGTGTGTGTGTGTATGTATATGGATATACATATGGAGAGAGCCTGGCATTGACCAACAAAACACCTGACCCCCCCCACCCGAGAGAGTATTCCACTAACATACAACCCCCCCCCCCTTCCCGTAGAGAGACTCACTTTCACAGCTCCAGACATCACATCAAGCAGTGTGCAGCCTGCAGATTCCACATGGTCCCTTTGGCACATTCGTCCCTACTTCCGGGGGGCAGTGTTGCCCCCCTGAAGAATGCTGCCCTAGGCAAATGCCTTGTTTGCCTTGTGGTAAACACGTGTGTGTGTGTGTGTGTGTGTGTGTGTGTGTGTGTGTGTGTGTGTGTGTGTGTGTGTGTGTGTACAGGGGCGGACTGACAACTCATGGGACCCCTGGGCAATAGGGGATCATGGGGCCCCTGTGTCCTTGCCCAAACTCAAAAAAAGCCTATGAAAAATGTACCTGGGGCATCTCATGGGGCCCCCTACTGACCCTGGGCTCTCGGGCAGTGCCCAGTTTCCAAATGGTTAGTCCACCCCTGTGTGTGTATGTATATGTGTATATATATATATACAGTCAGGTCCATAAATATTGGGACATCGACATAATTCTAAAATTTTTGGCTCTATACACCACCACAATGGATTTGAAATGAAACTAACAAGATGTGCTTTAACTGCAGACTGTCAGCTTTAATTTGAGGGTATTTACATCCAAATCAGGTGAACGATGTAGGAATTACAACAGTTTGCATATGTGCCTCCCACTTGTTAAAGGACCAAAAGTAATGGGACAGAATAATAATCATAAATCAAACTTTCACTTTTTAATACTTGGTTGCAAATCCTTTGCAGTCAATTACAGCCTGAAGTCTGGAACGCATAGACATCACCAGACGCTGGGTTTCATCCCTGGTGATGCTCTGCCAGGCCTCTACTGCAACTGTCTTCAGTTCCTGCTTGTTCTTGGGGCATTTTCCCTTCAGTTTTGTCTTCAGCAAGTGAAATGCATGCTCAATTGGATTCAGGTCAGGTGATTGACTTGGCCATTGCATAACATTCCACTTCTTTCCCTTAAAAAACTCTTTGGTTGCTTTTGCAGTATGCTTTGGGTCATTGTCCATCTGCACTGTGAAGCGTCCAATGAGTTCTGAAGCATTTGGCTGAATATGAGCAGATAATATTCCCGAAACACTTCAGAATTCATCCAGCTGCTTTTGTCAGCAGTCACATCATCAATAAATACAAGAGAACCAGTTCCATTGGCAGCCATACATGCCCACGCCATGACACTACCACCACCATGCTTCACTGATGAGGTGGTATGCTTAGGATCAGGAGCAGTTCCTTTCCTTCTCCATACTCTTCTCTTCCCATCACTCTGGTACAAGTTGATGTTGGTCTCATCTGTTCATAGGATGTTGTTCCAGAACTGTGAAGGCTTTTTTAGATGTCGTTTGGCAAACTCTAATCTGGCCTTCCTGTTTTTGAGGCTCACCAATGGTTTCCATCTTGTGGTGAACCTTCTGTATTCACTCTGGTGAAGTCTTCTCTTGATTGTTGACTTTGACACACATACACCTACCTCCTGGAGAGTGTTTTTGATCTGGCCAACTGTTGTGAAGGGTGTTTTCTTCACCAGGGAAAGAATTCTTCGGTCATCCACCACAGTTGTTTTCCGTGGTCTTCCGGGTCTTTTGGTGTTGCTGAGCTCCCCGGTGCGTTCCTTCTTTTTAAGAATGTTCCAAACAGTTGTTTTGGCCACGCCTAATGTTTTTGCTATCTCTCTGATGGGTTTGCATTGTTTTTTTCAGCCTAATGATGGCTTGCTTCACTGATAGTGACAGCTCTTTGGAACTCATCTTGAAGGTTGACAGCAACAGATTCCAAATGCAAATAGCACACTTGAAATGAACTGTGGACCTTTTATCTGCTCATTGTAATTGGGATAATGAGGGAATAACAAATACCTGGCCATGGAACAGCTGAGACGCCAATTGTCCCATTACTTTTGGTCCCTTAACAAGTGGGAGGCACATATGCAAACTGTTGTAATTCCTACACCGTTCACCTGATTTGGATGTAAATACCCTCAAATTAAAGCTGACAGTCTGCAGTTAAAGCACATCTTGTTCGTTTCTTTTCAAATCCATTGTGGTGGTGTATAGAGCCAAAAATGTTAGAATTGTGTCGATGTCCCAATATTTATGGACCTGACTGTATATATATATATATATATATATATATATATATATATATATATATATATATATAATGACATTGCACACAAACTGTTAGTCAACAATCAAAATTGCTGACACAATCCTTCACAAACAATATAGTGGTAAGATCATCAGCTAGACCCGCAAGTCTGAATATAAAGCTACCACTTTACAGCACAATGCTCGGTGCTTCAGAATGCTTTTATCCTGGACTGCCACCATACAGGTCATTGTCATGAGAAATTATTTGAAAAAACATCTCCCCTGAGAGTGAATACTAAATGTACAGAAAGTATTGGTAGTACGCTCCTGGACAATAATTGTCTAATATAATATTAGACTTCTGGATCGTAGATTGTCTCCAATTGTACTTGTCTGATTGTTCCCATAGAGTGTTTGGTCGTGCAGATATTCGCTTCAAATGACCAAAAATAACATGTGACATACATGTATTAGTGGGATTGCTGTAGGAAACCTCTAAATGCACATGAAAAACACCACTTAGGAGCGCAGTACTCTGTATTTGCAATTCCTTAGATGAATGCTGCGAACGGTAATTCGTTTAGAGTAAGGAAATCCATACAAAGCAAATAGTCTAAGAGGTTGGAGTTCTCTACCTTAGTGAGACCAGAGCCCGGTACGTCCTGCAGGTGCAAACATTAATGGATAGTTTGTACTCTCACAGTAAAATTATGGGAACACAAAATATGCATTCAATTGCTGGAAGGCTTTGGATGGGCTTGGTGTCATTGTGGGGGGGTGGGGTTCTAGAGAGGGCTAGGGGACTCTCTAGCAGGCTTGGTGGCTCTGTAGAGGATGGGCTTTCTGGAGGAAGCTTGAGGGGGGGACTGTGGAGGGCTATCAGAGGGCCACTATGGGAGTTGAGAGGCAGTATGAAAAGTTAAGAGATCTGCCAAGAGGCCTAGAAGTGGATTAGGGGAGTCTGCAGCAGACTTGGTGGCCCTGTTAGGGGATGAACTTTCTGGAGGAAGCTGGGGGGCACAGTGGGATGTCCTTGGAAATTGGAGGTTCTGCAGCTGGCTGGAGACCACTGGAAGAGGGGAAAAGGCTGGGTGGCACTGTGGGAGTTCAGGGGGCTTTGGGGCACTGTGGACCCACTATAGCACACTATAGAGGGCTGGAGTAGTGGGCTGGAGGACATTGTGGGCCACTACGAGTGGTTGGGGGCAGTATGGATGCTGGGTGGCACTGTGGAGAGGTTACAGGATCGACCACTGACTGGAGACCCAGGAGAAGGGAGACGGCAGCCTGGCAGTGGGCCACATTATGGTAGATGAGAACCGCTGGTCTAATGTACAAAGGAGCTGCCTTTCAAAGATGGTTAGAATGTACTGCCTGAATGGTCTGGGCTGCAGCCCGTGAATGATGAGGGTTACTGTTTTTTCAAACGTCAGTGAAAGTTTTTTCGGCTTCAGGTGTTGATCACCGGGTCCTGGCAAGAGATTCCCCGCCGGCACCCGGCGATCGCTGAGGAACACTGACAGGAAAGAGGTCTGTATGTAAACAATGCAGATCTCTTCCCTTTCCGCTCCAGCTCGCTGCTTTGTTTTCCTCTGCATAGCAGAACAATACAAAGCAGCATGCTTACAAGATAAAACACACATAGCACACAGTTAGCCCTGCGATTGCCCCAGATGTTAACCCCTTCCTGCCCAGTGTCATTAGTACAGTGCCATTGCTTTTTATTAGCACTGATCCAGTGGTGTATTTAGGTTTTGTGCTGCCCTAGGCAACAAAAAAAAAACAACGCTCCCCCCCCCCCCCCGTAGAGAGAGACTGACATTGACCAACAACACCCCTGCCTCCCACCTGAGAGAGCCTTCCACTACCACTGCCCTCCAACACCAGCCACCATTCCCCATGGCGAGAAAGAGACACTCACCTTAACAGCTCCAGACATCCCCGTGAATGAGCGTCGGACTCTGCATACACCGTCATGAAACCCGCAGCCTCTCTCGGAACCCACCAGATCTCCATGCCGCGTGTGTCCCTTCTTCCGAGAGGCAGTGCTGCCTCCCTTGAGAAATGCCGCCCTGGGCAAATGCCTTGTTTGCCTTGTGGTAAATACACCCCTGCACTGATCACTGTATTGGTGTCACTGGGGATGTCAATGGCAGCTAGTGTCAGAATGCCCGCTGCAGTCCCGCTATAACTCGCTGATCGCCGCCATTACTAGTATTAAAAAAAAAAAAATCCCAGTATCTATACCGCCATTTGTAGACGCTATAACTTTCATGTAAACCAATTAATTTACACGTATTGGTATATATATTTTTTTTTTAGCAAAGACGTCGCAGAATACATTTTGGCCTAAATTTATGAAGAAATTTGATGTTTTTTATTTTTTTACTGAATATTTTATAGCAAAAAGTAAAAAATATAGTATTTTTTTTTTTCAAATTTGGCGGTCTTTTTTTGTTTATAGCGCAAAAATAAAAAAACGCACAGGTGATCAAATACCACCGAAAGAAAGCTCTATTTGTGGGGGAAAAAAGGACATAAATGTCATTTGGGTGTAGAGTTGCATGACCGCGCAATTGTCAGTTAAATTAACGCAGCGCCGTATCGCAAAAAATGGCCTGGTCAGGAGGGGGGGACCTCTGGAGGACAAATGGTTAATTTTCTGCAAAACTTCATACAAACCACTTCTAATGTTCTGCATATGAAGTGGCTCTGATGTTTAGCAGCTCATGCAGTGCACAGTACAGGTGTGGTGTGAATGTGCTGCCACCTAGTGGTAATTATTAATTATTACATTCATGTAAAGCCAAAGTGTAATGAGCATGGTCACCAAAATCTGAGTGTCTGCTCTTTGCTCAACTTAAACCTGAATGGGGCCACTGTACAGTAACTGGGGTGAATTAGTGTTAGCACAATGATGACAGTCAGTCCATTTTCTTTTCAGTGTTTATTCAACAAAAACCCTTGAAAAAAATAAAAAAATATATAAATATAACATGGAGAGGACAGATAGTGGTACCTCAGCTTCTGTGGAAGGATTTGGGATGGGTGTTGGGACTTGGGCGTTGAGGTTGTAGCAATCTGTCTCTCTTCCAGAAACCTCCCATTGGCCATCATATTTGGGATCCCCTTGGTCATGGCTTGTTACCTGCTGATCAATATTGCCTATTTCACGGTGATGACCCCAACCGAGCTCCTTCAGTCTCCGGCCGTCGCTGTGGTGAGTTTCCTTTCTTTCCATCCTGTTGTTCTGCTCCGCCCTTTGAACTTTGTGGACGCGAGTGTGGCGTTTGCTGCAAAATCTGATTGCTCTTCAAATTTGTTTGCAAACGATAGATCCCTGTTTTTTTTTACATGGTGTAGAAGCGCTGATTATTATTATTATACAGTATTTATGTAGCTCCAAAAAGTTTGCTCAGCGCTTTATTTTATAGTGGGAGACTACATGAGACAATACAGTAGCAATACAATACATGAGGGGTTCAGGGGCCCTGCTCCTTGGAGCTTACAATCTAGGAGGGAGGGGATAGTGGTACAGGAGGAAGTGGCTGTGGGGGATGGAGTGGTAGGAGGAGTGGAGGAGATCGGCTGTTAGGTGAGGGCGGGGTAGGCTTCCCTGAAGAGATGGGTTTTCAGGGTGCGCCTAAAGGTGAGGAGGGTAGGTGACAGTCTGATGGATTGGGATAGTGAGTTCCAGAGGATGGGGAAGACTTGGAGAAGTCCTGGAGTTGGGCATGGGAGGTGTAGACCAGGGAGCTAGAGAGTAGGTCTTGTGAGGAGCGAAGAGTACGTGTTGGGTGGTAATTGGATATCGGGTCGGTGATGTAGTTTGGGGCAGCTTTGTACGTCAATGTTAGTAGTTTGAATTTTATGCATTGGGCAATCGGAAGCCAGTGGAGGGACTGGCAGAGGGGGGTGGCGGATACGGAGCGGTTAGTAAGGTGGATGAGTCTGGCCGCTGAGTTCAGGATAGACTGAAGCGGGGATAGTCTGTGAATAGGTAGGCCGGTGAGGAGGGAGTTGCAGTAGTCCAGACGTGAGATAATAAGGGAGTGAACGAGTAGTTTAGTAGTGTTCGGGGTTAGGAACGAACGTATTTTGGAGATGTTGCGGAGGTGGAGTCTGCATGAATTTGCCAGCAATTGGACATGGAGCTGGAAGGACAGATTGGAGTCTAGAGTGACGCCTAGAACTTTGGCTTGCGGGGTGGGTGATGGAGATATGTTCGAACGTGATGGGTGGCTTGTGGTCTGAGAGGCTGCTCACCAACAATTGTGGAGTCTTACTGGACCCTTGAAGAGTTTACCAAAGTTCCGAAAGGATGGGAGCACCGCACCAGCTTTTATTTTGAAACATCCAACCTGTTTCGGGAGCTCAGCACTCTATCTTTATAGGGGCTAAAAAATACATCATACATGTGACTGCAATAGAAAAGCTCTTGCAATCCAGGTGACTGCATGATATTTTTTTTTTTAGCCTTGATGAAGTGGGAGTGCTGAGCCCCCGAAACACGTTGGATGTTGCAAAATAAAATATTTGAAAGGTCTATACAAGCTGGTGTTGTGCTTCCTTTCTTTCAAAATGTTATTACCAAGACTGGACATTTTAGACCCAAAATATACAATGGGGCTATCATGGAAACTGGTGAAAGGAAGGGAAGGGCGCTGCTCAACCAATCCCAGGAGTCCAATGTTGAGTAATGGCCTCTACCTCTATGACCAGGCCCAATGGGAGACGTAAAATGCATGAGAGGACGAAGCCAGGACGGCGGCGGCTAAGGCTATTCCTAAACATTGGACTCTTGCGGTTTGTTGAGCAGCATCCATCCCTTCACTTGTATTGGCTGACACTGGAATCGCTCCCCTCTTCTCATTTGCTGGTGGGGTGATCCTTTTCCTTCCATCCAAAGCTTGGAGAGATCCATAAGGTATACTTTTTCTCATGGAAACTTCACAGCCTTGAGCATCACAAAGCTTTGTATAGTCATGACTGAATTAGGAGACTCGCCATCTGGCCCAATATTTGCAAACTGGTTCGCTGGTTCGAATCCCAGCCATGGCACCACCTGCCTGGAGTTTGCATGTTCTCCCTGTGCCTGCGTGGGTTTCCTCCGGGTACTCCGGTTTCCTCCCACACTCCAAAAGACATGCTGGTAGGTGAATTGGCTCCTGTCTAAATTGTCCCTAGTATGTGTATGTATGAATGTGAGTTAGGGACCTTAGATTGTACACCCCTTGAGGGTTAGGGACGGATGTGAATGTACAGTATATATGTAAAGCGCTGCGTATATTGACGGCGCTATAGAAAATCTGTATTCCAAAAACTGTAAATGGGTAAGACTGACCCTGAGGAAGCACTGATTTACAGCATGAAATAGGTTACAGCTTTACTTTGTGCTATTTTTTTTGGGGGGGGGGGGGTGGGAATGGCAAAGATTTTTTGGGGTATAGTAAGCAGTCTTCTTTCTGCTTTTATGGAAAGTCTGGGAATGAACTTGACCCATAACTTGTATTATGAGCGCTTGGCTGGTAAGGTGTGGACCAACCTGGAGCAGGTGGTACATTACAAATGTGTAAGAAAGCCTGGTGTCTGTCCTAAATCTGTTTACCCGTCTCATTTCAGACCTTCGGGGATCGTGTTCTGCACCCAGTGGCCTGGATGGTTCCTCTGTTTGTGGCCTTTTCAACCATCGGATCAGCCAACGGAACCTGCTTTACTGCCGGCAGGTTCGTTCATAGCCCGACCTTCACCCAGAGCCAATTATATCCTTCCTTATTGAGCTGGCAAACTTTTATTAAATCTATGTACAGTGCAAAGCAAATTATTTAAGAAATTCCAGGTATTGATATTTCTACATAGTTCATTGGATCCAAGTTGAACCAATGTTACTATGTATATACCATACCTGTGGGATCCCTCTAGAACAGGGGTGTCAAACTCAATTTCATGGCGGGCTGCATCAGCATTATGGTTGCCCTCAAAGGGCCAGTTGTATCTGCAAGACTAGATGTCCAGCGCACCCCCCTTACCTTGTGCTTCTGCCAGGAAGAAGCTGGAGGCAGAGCTGGGAAGCAGAAAGTGCAGGGTCTGGAGGAAAACTGGAGTCAGCTGCTGACGTCTGTAGGGTTGGTAGAGACAAGAGGGTGCTGTGGCTGCACAGAGATCTGAAGGAAGGAGGAGGTCTGTCCTCCTGTCTGCTGCCAATTGCTGAGACCAAGGGTGGGGGGTTGCATAAATGAGCCTCTCTATGGCTGCATGGAGAAAAGCAGGATCTGGCAGTGAAGGTCCGTCCTCCTCTCTTCTGTTGACTGCTGAGACAAGGTGGAAACGAAGGAGTGCCACAGTTGCAGGAGAGGTCTGAGGGCCACATGAAATGGCCTGGAGTGCCGTATTTGGCCCTCAGGCCTTGTGTTTGACACCTGTGCTCTAGAAGCTGAAATCCCTATATAAGCACTGTTACTCTAGTGAACTCCACTAGCTCCCATGTCTCGTGGCAAGCAGCTGTCCTGCTACAGTCTATACAAAGGAGGTTGGCCGCTCAGCACGGACGCCGTTCATAGATCACTTGGCATATTCTCCACCTTGGCCAAAGAATGCTTTTCATTCATTGAGAAAATGTAAAGTGTTTTCTGGATAGAGCCCATACCCAGCAGCTGACCTACTGTGTTCAGAATTCTAGATTTCCAAAAACCTGGAATACTATAGTGTGTCCTTTGACTGACAGCTGAGTCTTCTGACATGACATCCAAGATGGCAGAACCTAGCTTGAGTCTTCTGACATGACATCCAAGATGGCAGGACCTAGCTTGGGTCTTCTGACATGACATCCAAGATGGCAGGACCTAGCTTGAGTCTTCTGACATGACATCCAAGATGGCAGGACCTAGCTTGAGTCTTCTGACATGACATCCAAGATGGCAGAACCTAGCTTGAGTCTTCTGACATGACATCCAAGATGGCAGGACCTAGCTTGAGTCTTCTGCCATGACATCCAAGATGGCAGAACCTAGCTTGAGTCTTCTGACATGACATCCAAGATGGCAGAACCTAGCTTTAGTCTTCTGACATGACATCCAAGATGGCAGGACCTAGCTTGAGTCTTCTGACATGACATCCAAGATGGCAGGACCTAGCTTGAGTCTCAGAGCTTTTTGGATGTCTACACAAGTGAGGCTTTTACAGGTAAATAAATGTCTACACATATGTTAAAAGCTCATATAGGTCTTGTAAACACAGGGTTGGCATGCTATAACATACACCCGTATGAGGGCCGTGTTTACTCGCATGGGGATGCACAGGTGTTTTGTGCATCCCCATTGATGTCGGTTGGGATAAAGGAGCTGCATGGACACAGCCACTTTGCCAGCATTGGTGGAGCGGGACCCCAAACTCACGCCGTCTGCGTTTGAAGCCGTGTATTCACACCCGCAAGGATGTTCGATTGGGAGCAGTGGCTAAGTCCATGCAGCCATTGTGTCCCAATTAACATGAAAGGGACTGCCTGCACAAAGATGCATGGAACACCTGTGCATCCCCACGTAGGTAAATACAGCCCTTGCACGGGTGTAAGCTGTAGTATGTGAATGAGGCCATAAGCCTATGGAAAGATTGTTGTTAAAAGGAGAAGCCAGGTGACGGGGCCTCTTTAGAGAGTCTTTAAGCACTTCTATACGATAACATAGCTGGTAATTGAAACAGGAATACGCTTACCTTACTGGTGGCCCTTGTTTTAAAATGCTGAAAATCTTCGATTCGTTGAACAGTTCGAATACCCGGTACCCTGCCGTTGGCTCGTGTGTTTTAGTAAGATATGAGAGCTGGAAGAGAGCAGGCATTCCACACACAACATAAACATGGAATACTTGTTGGGGCCGGGGAGCAGTGAAGCAGTGTTGCTTCGAGGTGCGGGTTCTTCTCATTGAAGTGACCCTTTGCTGTAACGCTGGATATCGGGATTCTATGCTGAAAAATTGGGGTGACCATCGGGTGGTAGGGGGTCAAGACCCAGCTTATAACAAAGTGCAACGTCCCTAAAGTTAAGTATTGGAAGGGATATTGGATGGACTTTTTAGGCACAAAAACTCAGAACACACAGAAATAAAATCAATGTTCCTTTATTATCACGTCACCTCTAGAAAGTATCTTGTATACAATGACATTGCACAGTTAGCCCACAGCTAGCATCCCATAACCAACCCACCAGTGAAGACAATACTTGTGAGCTAACTTTTGAGCTGCCTGCCTTATTCCCCAGTGAGGGACTATATGTACATACTGGCCGTAAGGGTCATTATATCCTTTCTAGTATAAGGCCTTTCTTGGTTTTGATACTATTAGCCTGAAGATAGTTGAACCAATACATGGAGTTTGTACGTTTGAGGAATCTCGTGGGTCTCTCGCCCACCCATGGCCTAGTTTTTGCATACTAGGGATGCACCGAAATTTCGGTGGCTGAAAACACCCCTTTTGGCTGTCGGCCAAAATGAAACAATTCTTTTTTTTTTTTTTTTTGATCCAATGCTTCACATTGCAGAGGAGAGACTTGGGGTCTTACTGACCCCATATCTCTCCATAAAGAGGACCTGTCACTAATTATTTCTATCACAGGGGATGCATGCATTTCTTGTGATAAGAATAAAAGTGATTACAATTTTTTATAAAGGGACAGTGCAAAAAAAAAAAACATTTAAATACATTTTTTTAAAAAAGTTTAAAGTGCTCCCCCCCCGTGCTCGCATGTAGAGGTAAACGCATATGTAGGCCATACCCACATATGTAAACGGTATTCAAACCACACACGTGAGGTATCGCCGTGAAAGTCAGAGCAAGAGCAATAATTCTCGCACTAGACCTCCTCTGTAATTTACACTGCCAACCTGTAGACATTTTGAAAGCATCACCCATGGAGATTTTTAAATACCGCAGTTTCACGCCATTCCACTAGCGTGCGCAATTTTAGAGCATGACATGTTGGGTATCTATTTACTCTATTTTAACATTTTCTTTCATATTTTACAAAAACAATTGGAGTATATATATTTTTTTTAAATCAAAGTTTATTTTTTCCAAAAAATATATATTCATTTTTAAAAAACTGCCCATTTCGGTTTTCGGCCAAGTGCATTTTGAATGTTCGTTTTGGCACCAGAATTTTCATTTCAGTGCACCACTACCCCATACCCGACTTTTGGATGTTATTCCCCTTGTGTGGACCTGAGAGAACCTGCAGTTGCGTGCCCTGGGGAGTCCATTACTGCACAATACGCACTGGTTAACTTTATACATTGCTAGCCCCCTGAAGAGAAGCGACCTTTTGTCGCGAAAATGTTGGGTGTTGCTTGAATATCCCCTACCTTCCTGAAGAAAATATCCTCTTTGTACCAGTTGTACTGTACATATCCATTGGAATTTCTCTTTCTTTGGTCAGTAGTTATGTGATGTTAGCTGTGGGCTAATTGTTCAATGTCATTGTATACAAGATACATTTCAGAGGTGATGTGATAATAAAAGAACATTGATTTTATTTCTGTGCGTACTGAGTTTTTGTGCCTAAAAAGTCCATTCAATATCCTTCTTTCCAATACTTTATATCGGGATGTCTGCATCATTCAAAAAAAAAAATTTGAATGACACTTAGTTGCATCATAAACATGATTTTTTTTCTCTCCTCCACAGGCTTACATACGTCGCAGGCCGTGAAGGTCACATGTTGAAATTCTTATCTTACATCAGTGTCAAGCGCCTGACCCCGCTGCCAGCCATTGTGTCTCTTATGTACGTTAACGCCTCCTGTGTCTGGTGATTTGTCAGAATACAGCACCGTAGATCCGTGCTAAGGGACCACTGCAGTAATGCACAGCAACACCTGCTCTGTGGATGGTGCATGGCAGTGCTATTCGTATGGCATTCCAGCACACTGTACAGTAGTGGGCAATGCACCACAATGTATACAGTGTGTGTTGTGGTGTGCTGCATTTTTAAAATTTAAAAAAAAAGACTAATTTGCTTTTTTTTTTTTTGGTCCTGTGCAGTGCAGTGGCAGCGTAAGGACTCGTTCACACCATGGTGCAGAGACGTCCGGTTTTCTGCATGCGTTCTGCAAGGGCACAGCAAAATCAATTGTTCTCTGTGTGCCCTGTTCACACCACAACACTGGTATCACATGCAGATTTTTTTCTCTGCAGGAATCTGCAACGTGTATAAAATTCACTGACGTCTGCATGTAAACTGATGTCTCTGCAGGTCCATTTCCTCCACGTATGGTGTGAACAAGGACGGACTGACAACTCATGGGGCCCCCGGGCAATAGGGGATCATGGCGCCCGTGTCTTTGCCCAAACTCAAAAAAACCTATGAAAAAGGTACCAGGGGCATCACATGGGGCCCCCTACTGACCCCGGGCCCTCGGGCAGTGCCCGAGTTTCCAAATTGTCAGTCCGCCCCTGGGTGTGAACAAGCCCTAATCCAGCCGAAAAACATAACTTGACTGGAATACAGCTTTATCCAGTTTTGCTGAATGTGGTTGGGAAGTTGGATCCAAAGGACCCCCCCATCAGTGCACCAATATTATTGAACAAAATGTTTAGGCTGGAGTTCCACTTCTAATGTTAACATGGAAGTAGCCTATGAAAGGTTGGAGAATATTCATGATCATTCTTCTTCTCTCTCCAGGGTATCATCGGAATGATTTATATCATCCCAGCAGATATCAATACCCTCATCAACTACTTCAGCTTTGCCGTCTGGATATTTTACGGTTTGACTATCGCTGGACTTGTTGTAATGAGATTCACCAAGAAAGACATGAATAGGCCAATCAAGGTAAATTTCCTGGATTTACAAACTGATTTGCAAATTCACAAACTAGCAGGTTTTCTGAATAAAGTCGTAGGTGTTGACCTATACCAGTGGTCGGCAAGCCGCGGCTCGCGAGCCACATGCGGCTCTTTACAATCTTAAATGCGGCTCTTCTGTGTGCCGGGCGCCCGCTCCCCTCCCTCCTCTCGGACGGGCGTGTGCCGGGCGGCCGCCCCCCTCACCTCACCTCCCTCCTCTCGGACGGCAGCTGTCAGGATGTAGGCGGGGCAGCCAGGATGTAGGCGGGGCAGTGTGACGAACTCCTCTCCTCTCACAGTCCACCCTGAAGACCAGAACGGCGCGGGAAACACGGCGAGAGGAACGCGCGGAGCAAAGGTAAGTGAATTGACACAGGGGGGACTTACTATATGGGGGGATGAATTACTATATGGGGGGATGAATTACTATATGGGGGGATGAATTACTATATGGGGGGATGAATTACTATATGGGGGGATGAATTACTATATGGGGGACTTACTATGGGGGGGTGAATTACTATATGGGGGATGAATTACTATATGGGGGATGAATTACTATATGGGAGATGTATTTTCAGTTTTAAAAATGTGGCTCTCAAAATAAATTTCAATCGTGGTTTTGGCGAGATTTGGCTCAGTTGAAAAAAAAAGGTTGCCCACCACTGACCTATACCAACCACAAGGGTATGATTGGCGCTAACAGACCATGTGACTGCTAGGGTCCCCCGTGCCGTATGGATACATAGCCTTTAAATGTAATTTCTAACACTTTTTACATAAACTGGCCCATGGAGGGAAGGGGTTCCAGCAATTTAAATAAACTGTGCCATTTGTAAATATATTGTGTAATGCAATGCCATACCTGTAGGCCTTTTCTGCAGAAATACTCCCAGACCTGTATATTCCTACATCCAGGATTATTTTCAGGACATGGCAGTCATTGGGCGCTCACCCTTCATGATTTTAAAGCCGAACATGCGTAATGCACTCTCCGGTTGCAGCAACGACTACCAATTGCACATCCACAACCAGGATTCTCACACTGCTGTGGTTGTTTACATCTCATAATTTGGGCTAGGACAAAATGACCACCAGGCCTCTTTCTTTGAGGACAACTCAAGTGATGATCTCTTTAGTTCTCCTCAAAGAAGGAGGCTCAGTGGCCACTTTGTTGTGGAAATAAAGCCAGGACATGGGGATTTAAACATTGGCAGTATTTCTGTCAGACTTCATGGATGATTGAAAAGGCCTAAAGGTATGGTGTTTGCAGTAAACAATACTTTTACAAATGGCATTGCATTTTAAACTACTGAGGATCCTTGGCTGCATGGGCCAGTTAATGTAAAAGAGGAACTTGGCCTAATTGATGGACCCCCCCCCCTTCCCCCCAACCCATTACCAGTTTTCACCCCAACTTGGCTCAATTGTCCAGAGTAAGCTTATGTACATTGATGGATGCCACCAGTTCAATCCAGTTTTGGCTGATGCGAGATGCTATGGTGATACTAATCACTGTATATGTCAAGGTCTTAATGACCTCAACCTCTGTTTTTTGATTACCGCCCCCCTCCCCCATCCTTTTTGACCTCATGATGCACACCGCCATACAGCATACAAAGCCTGCATAACGATGTTCCTGGGACTTGCTGGAGCCACCTGTTAAGGTGCATTAGAAGCTGCAACTGTACACAGCCATGTGCTGGGGGTTGTGTATAGAACCCGCATGGGCACTGCTGACATATACTCCGAACGCAGATTGTGTGATAGATCAGAGCAAACATTAATACACTGCAAAGAAAAGGCACCTCAATGGACAGCTGTACGTGCCGGCAGCAGGTCCCAGGAATGCTAGTATGCAGGCTCTGCACATTGTTTGGTCCTGTGCATTGAGCCTTTTCCTGGAAACGGGTTGAAAATGCTAAAGGGTAATTACCAAGCACCACATTTGTCACACCTTGGTCTCGGTTTTGGGCCTGTTAATTCTCTCGTCTGTGAATTAGATATTGCAGCTGGTCAAGGCTGAGATGTAAGCAGCATGCCAATGGTATATGCGGGCTGTATTCCCTAGTGGCAGCAGTTCCTCCCTGATGGCAACTTGGAGTCTACACCCTCAAAATTAAGACACCAATGACATTTCCTTGTTTCTGCCTTCATAGTTGACCTTTTAAATCTGTGTGACTGAATGTAACGCATTGCTGCTCCCTTTCAGATTCCAATTGTGATCCCCATTGCGATGGTTCTGGTCTCTGCCTATCTGGTGATAGCACCCATTATAGATGAGCCAGAGTGGGCCTATTTATACTGCGTTCTCTTCATCATTAGTGGACTCGTAGTCTACTTCCCATTTGTGCACTACAAGGTCCGATGGGCACAGAAGATAACAAGTGAGTATAACTAGTGATGGTCATCAAATAAAGAATGACTGTACCCGACCTGAGCCCGAAGATCCCCTGCTAGCTGTCAAAGCGGGGGCTGGTGCGTTCACCTTTCATAACATGTTAAACCCATATTCAATTATGAACTTATCCTTTAAAGTAAAGGCAAAGAGTCACCTTCCGTGAAAACTATATAAAACGATAAGATCTAGGCACGCAGCCAGCTGACGTTACCAAACTTGACTCTGCTCTGCCAGCTTCCCACGTCTCCCTATTGGTCATTTAATGTTATCAGCCTCTTCACTGACCAATAAGGGGATGCTCCCCCTCCCCGGTGGAGAGAGCCTGATACCGACCAACAACCCCCCCCCCCCCCCCCCCCCCCCCCCCCCCCCCCCCCCCCCCCCCCCCCCCCCCCCCCCTCCCCCCCCCACCCCCCCCCCCCCCCCCCCCGCCCACACACACACACACACACACACACACACACACACACACACGCACACACACACACGGAGAGCCTGACCGTGACCAACATCACCCCCCTGCCCCATCCCCCCCCACCCGAGAGAGCCTTTTACTAATACCCCCCCCACCACCACCAGAGAATAAGACACTCACCTTCACAGCTCTGGCCATCCTCGGGAACGACAGTTGGGCTTCTGCTGCATTCACCATCAAGCAACCTCTCTTGGATCCCACTTGGTTCCCATGCCACATATGTCCCTTCTTCTGGAGGGCAGTGCTGCCCCCCCAAAAAATGCTGCCCTAGGCAAATGCCTTGTGGTAAATATGCCCCTGCGCTGAGGACATGCAGTTCTGAATAGACTGCAGGGTCCTCATAGTTCATTCACAAGCCTGGACATGTGTAAACAAGTAGGGAGAGGTACAGGCTGAAAAAGCTGCAGAAGTCTGGCATTGTACCTCTGATCCATTAATCACAGATGCAATGATTTCCAGGCTCCTTAGGGAAAAAAAATAACAAATGCACAGTTTTTTCCTGCAAAAATTTGCGCATTTATTATTTTTTGACAAAAGGTGAACTTATGAAAAAAAACAGCAGAAAAGTGTTAAGCTAAGGGTGACTTCTCAGTTTTTGTTAGTAATCCAAAGCGAGAGACCTCTTCTCCATTGTAGAGGACATAGAGTGGGGTAGGTTATAAGTGAGGTGCCTTGGGGGGGGAACATCCTCAAAAGCTTTGCCAGTGTCCAATCCAGGTATGAGCCTGGAACCCCTGGCCTGTAACCCCTGGCCTGGAAACACTTTGCAGGTAACCCCTGGTCTGGGAATACTGAGCCTGTAACCCCTGGCCTGGGAACACTTTGCAGGTAACCCCTGGTAACCCCTGTAACCCCCGGTCTGGGAACACTTGGCCTGTGTCCTGTACTGTACCATTGAACTATATTTGTATCTTCATTTCAGAGCCAATCACTATGTATGTACAGATGATCATGGAGGTGGTGCCAGCGGAAGAATCCAAAAAATAAAGGACGGTGTGAATTGGTCGCACTGACAATCTGAACTCTGGACACTTCTGTACATATTGTAAATGTAATTTGCGAGAACCAAACGCATCAAAATATTCTCTGTGTTCCATGTCGGTGGATCTGGAATCAGTGTGTCCCATGCTGGGATGTCTGCAGTGACCAGGAATGAATTGCTGGATAAGTCACCTAAGATAGAGACTCATTAACTAACAGTGGGCCTATGGAGAAGAATGTTTTCTTTCAGGAATGTCAGAATCGAGTTTGTAAAAAATTCTGTACAGCTAAAGTCACTGGCCAGCTGTGTGACAGATCTTCAACCAACACATACTCACTGCAATCACAGCACAACCTAACTCTTCCGACTCTCTGCACATAGCAGGGGATTGCTTGGACATTTCAAAGTGGTTTTTTTCTAAAATGTATACTTATCTAATCACAATGTAAATAGTGTGTTCTTAAACCAATCTTTGTTTTTATGTACAGTTTACGGTAAAATATGTACAAGGGGTAGTTGTATTTGCTCATTACATAGGCAGGCTCTGCTTCCTACTTAGTGCTGTACAGTGAAGATACTTTACGGCTTCTGCCTGCAGTTGATGACCATCATCAGACTGATACAAAACAATAGAATTTTTTTTTTTTTTTCCCCCACCATCCAAATAACGGACTGCACACCAAAGATGTATGTCCCCAGGATTAAGCCCTGCTGTGTGTGGAAGGCATTGGGGACATGGCTAGGAGTGGAAGTCAGCTGGCATTGCAATAAATTTTGGCTGGAATTGAACATCTTTCAGTGTGTGGCCTACTATTTGGTTGATGGACTACAGTGGGGAAAGAGCAGACTCCAGCACCTTGGCACCCAGCTGATTGCAGGGAATGGAGATACAGGCTGGCCTGTGAGTAGTGAAAGGGATTGGGCTCAGCTAACAGTGGCCTATTGCACAGACCTACAGATAAGTTCCAGTTCACATATACGGCACTGACCGGTGTTTTCCTGCACGGGAAGAACAGCAATCACCATTAGGATATGCAGAAAACAATTTTTTTTAAAGGGAAAGACTGACAATTGTCCTTACTGAGCACTGACACTACCTCTGTCACTGGAGGACAGCTTACACTGTCGGAGCAGGAGAGAGCTTTCTTGCTACAGGGCTGGTGACAGAGGAGAAGAGAACATCACCGCCAACAAATTGCTGCCTCCTCCTCCCTGTCCTGAGACTTTCCATAGAGATCATCTGGGCACTGTGATATCCCAAACAATAAATGTGCAAATCTGCTTGGGGGAGGATTGGGTGAACAAAGACCTTCAAGCTTTAGGGAAGGTCTTCCCAACGGGTCAGAGAAAGCAACAAAAACCTGACAATATATATTCTAAGGGGTTTATTTGACAGTAGTGAATGCAGCAAAGTAATCTACATGCACCAGAATTTACATGATTGTGTCATCTCTGGGCTGCCATCTTGGTCAAGTAAATGGTGATCCCAGATGATGCCTGAACAAAGGTGGTGCCATCCTTCTGCAGAGATAAGCAGATGAAGACATTGTCAGGGGGAGTATTGTGATCTCTGTGAGATAATAAATGCCTGCAAGGGGTACAGTAACACATTACTAGGCATGGAAGGATGGATGTGTACACATATATATATACTTATACACATGCACATATATATACACACATACATGATGCATATACATACATGATATACACTCATATATATATATATATATATATATATACACACACACACATATATATATATATATATATATATATATATATATATATATATATATACTGTATATACATACAAACATTAAGTATATATATACTTATACACACACACACATATATATACACACACATACATACACACAAACATATATATATATATATATATATATATATATATGATAGGACCACTTTGAGTCGAAAGTTTAGATAAGACATAATAAATGTCACTTTAATTTCATTTAACTTTATTGAACACGTGTAAATACGAACACTACACACTAACCTGCCACAATCATGTGACCCTTTCTCAGTATTTAACACACACAACGTGAACAGCAACACAAGGAAGCAAAAAAATTAAATAAAAGGAAGTGAACCCCAATACTATCCAGAAAAATGTTACAACTGCTAAAGTTAAATTTAGTTTTTTTTATTATTCAATGCCATTTATAATCCAGTGCAGTTCAGCCTAACACACTTTGATGTGTGTAGAAGGCCCAGGAGCAAAGGGGATTGCATCAAGTACCCCTAGAAAACCTTCGAGGCAAGGGGCTCATCTGCAACGTTTACATTCTGCGGAGATGTGCATGGCACTGCCCACACAGCCACATCATCAGAGATCTGTGAATGAATAAACTACAAATGACACCTGTCCATGTGGCAGAGGGACTAGTAATTCCCAATAAAACACAAAGGCGGTAATTACCGCACTCGTACTCCATTGACATTTCCTTCAGCTCTGTAACTGAATGTTCCTACCTCAGTGCAGACATGCAGCTGCAGAACAAGTCTACAGGATCCTGTAAACTGCACCCGTGAACAACTGAATCACTTTTTCTGAGGGATGCTGAGGTCAAAACATCAGAATAGACTTGCTCTACAAATAATCCAAATATTCCTGTCTGGGCGTGGCAGCAAGTGATAGACATTTTTTTAAAGGTCAGAATTGCATCAATAGATGCAGGGAATGGTGCATGTTTCTGTTAAAATGCATGATGGCAGCTACCCTGTGTATGTGGCAATTGCTCTTAGTTTACTGGTGCTTAGACTGTCAGCCTGCACAGAGATTTTCCAGCTTGCAGGACAAGTGCGTAATCCTCACAAACATTAGTCTTGTGGCTACCTTTTCAGCCAACCTGCTAAAGGCTCAGAAAGTAGATTCAGTTCTAAGATTGCTTTAAATATAACAGCTGGATGCGTTTCTAAATGCATGGTCATAGGATTTTTGTTCTCACTGCAAACTTTTTCCTGTAACTCCAGTGAGTGACACAAAGGGGTAGATTTACTAAAACTAGAGGCACTCAGAATCTGATGCAGCTGTGCATGGTAGCCAATCAGCTTCTAACTTCAGCTTGTTCAAATAAGCTTTAGCAATAAAACCTGGAAGCTGATTGGTTTCTATGTAGAGGTTCTCCAGATTTTGCACTCTCCAATTTTAGTAAATATCCCCTAAAAGTCTTTCACCTTCAGGTTATACTGCCACCTACAGGAGAGTCCTGGTCACTGGCAAACAAAAAAGGAGGAACATCTCTAATGAGCTCAAATGGTGGTTTCTGAGGTGCAGAGAGAACTAGACTGAGGTCCCACAGTCAAAGGGGGAGCTACATGGAAAATTCCCTGCAAAAGGCATAAGACCAATGGTCTTGCAAAGAAAGAAAAAAAAAAAAAAAAAAAAGCAGAAACCTGACCTTTGATAATGCTGTGAGCCAAAAGCTGGTTCGGACTCTGTAGAAAGGGGAGGATTCACCCCACAAAGAAACTGCTGGGCAAAAGCCTCAGGACTCACAATAAATGAAGATGCTTGCCATGTTTGAAGATGGCCATGTTTGGTGATAGACTTTGTGGGAGGAAGACTAGTTTTAAACATTGTAGGAATCAGATTCAGAGATGGCCCTGTCTTAGGATCTGGACTTTAGCGCCATGCCGTTAATGGATAAGGTCTCCTTTTGAAAAAGAAAAAAAAAAAACGCAATAAATGCACATTTTCTTGCAGGTAAGAACAGATGCATTTATTTTTCAATGGAGCCTGCAGAGCAGATCACGGGTGCATTCCCAGGCTCCTGCACTCTGTACATGGCTGTGTGCCCTAACCTCGTACAGGCAAGCAGTTAACTGAGAGCAGGAAGACTCAATGGACTACATGAGCGCTCACTATCGCTCTCGAAGTTCAATGAGAACTACAAGCCATCAGCAGCATTGGCTGACGGTACTTGTAGGCAATCATTTACAGGAAATTGTGGATTTTCAAATTTTGACAGTGAGTTTGTCAGTCTCCCTAGGTCTGGTGCACCATGCAAGATCTCACCTCATGGAGTGTCAATGATCATGAGAACAGTGAGGAATCATCCCAGAACTACACGTGAGGATCTTGTCGATCTCCAGGCAGCTGTGACCACAGTCACCAAGAAAACAATTGGTAACACACTACGCTGACAAGGACTGAAATCCTGCAGTGCCCGCAAGGTCCCTCTGCTCAAGAAAGCACATGTCCAGGCCCGTCTGAAGTTTCCCACTGAACATCTGAATGATGCAGAGGAGGACTGGTGGAAAGTGTTGTGGTCAGATTGCACCAAAAACGAGCTCTTTGGCATCAACTCAACTCGCCATGTTTGGGGGAGAAGGAATGCTGCCTATGACCCCAAGAACACCATCCCAACTGTCAAACATGGTGGTGGAAACATTCTGCTTTGGGGGTGTTTTTCTGCTAAGGGGACAGGACAACTGCACCGCATCAAAGGGACGATGGACGGGGTAATGTACCATCAAATTCTGGGTGAGAACCTTCTTCCCTCAGCCAGGGCACTGAATATGGGTCATGGATGGGTGTTCCAGCATGACAATGACCCAAAACACACGGCCAAGGCAACAAAGGAGTGGCTCAAGAAGAAGCACATTAAGGTTCTGGAGTGGCCTAGCCAGTCTCCAGACCTTCATCCGATTGAAAATCTGTGGAGGGAGCTGAAAGTTCACGTTGCCAAACGTCAGCCACCAAACCTTAATGACTTGGAGAGGATCTGCCAAGAGGAGTGGGCCAAAATCCCTCCTGAGATGTGTGCAAACCTGGTGGCAAACTACAGGAAACGTCTGACCTCTGATTGCCAACAAGGGATTTGCCACCAAGTACTAAGTCATGTTTTGTGAAGGGGATCAAATACTTATTTCCCTCATGAACATGCAGATCAGTCATCATTTGTTAGACATGCATTTCTGCTGAATTTTTTGTTGCTATTCTGTCTCTCAGTGTTACAATACACCGAACATTCGATTTTTAGACTGTTCATTACTTTGTGAGTGGGCAACCATTCAAAATCAGCAGGGGATCAAATATGCATTTAATTCACTGTACATGGATCCAGATTCGGCCAGTCTATGTTGAACTGGCTGAATTTTGTTCCATGTATGGCTGGCTTTAGTCTGTCCTAAAGACAGGTCCTGACAAGTACCAAGATCAGATACAGAATCTACAGAAAAGCAAAGGCGCAGGCTTGTGGTCATAACCAGCAAAAAACGGATTGATTTTGGCCATAAAATCTTGTATGACTGTAGTGAAGACCTCGATCATGATAGCTGAAGAGCTGGCCACATCCAACGGAGCTAGGGAAGAATCCAAACATGGGATAGACTCTAGAATCAGAGGACCACATGATTTCAGATTGAAGACACCAGCCACATCAGTGGGCATTGGAGCTGTTAATGTGAGCCCCCCCCCCCCCCCCCCCACGGTGTCTAGTATTAGACATGTTCTTAATGCGTGACAGTCATGCAACATAGAACTCTGAGTATGAAGCAAGGTCTCACATACTCAAACAATAAAGAGCTAACAGGTGGGTGAGGGTTGGATGTTCAGAGATAACTACGGTCACTATAGGTGGACAGCAGGAACAGACCAACAAGACCGAAAACAGAGGTTTCATGTGGCTCTTTGCAAAGTAAGAGCAGCAGTAGGAAGATGCTTCCATGATAGTGAAGATGGCAGGAAAAAGTGTGAAGCGCACTTACTCGTGAACTCTACCTAAGAGATGACATCAGCACTTAGTCCTTCAGCGTTGACCTCTTACGAAGTAGGAACCAGCAGAATGCAGAGATTTCAAAGGCGCCCAGCAATCTAAGTGAAGGAGGTAGCTCCCGCTGTTCAGTCAGCCTGGCCTACTCAGAGTTAGTAGAGAGAACAAGTGCTGTGGCAATGCAAAAGCTCTGGACCTGCAATGAGCTCAGCGGTTAACTTGTTACTTCCTACATGGAACCCTGTTCCTGCAGGTCACTTCCAGGCTAGCCCCACAATGTCTAGTCCAGTGGGCCCAGTCGTGGCAATCCAAAAATCAGGCTGAACACAGCTGTGCTGAATAGCTGCAACTGAAGAGACTGGCCCTAGCAGTGATGTACAGAAGAGTCCTGATTAACCCCTTGTTCACCAAGGTACGTTTATAAATGTCCTGGTATTCAAGGGTTAAGGCAAGCTCACACTAAAGCGGGGGTCAGCAGCCTGTAGATCACGATCTACCAGTAGTAAGTGACTGGTAGATCGTGGTCTGGGCTTGCTAATTGCTGAGTGCAATGCAGGGACTACTGGTAAAGTTGGAGCTGTAGTGTGGAGCAGGAGCCTCATAAGCTGATGCCTCCTCTGTAGTGCCGGCTCCTGTTCCATGCCGCATGATACCAATTGGGTTTTACCACTCAACTGTATGTGTGAACGAGCCCTAAGGGTGCCGCTACTGAATGCAATTTGGGGCTCATTCACAAGTGCAGCAGGCACTGCTGCTCTTCTGAAAAGCCATCCAAATGTGTGGCAATTGGTGAGGAGGCGATATGTTGCCTACTCACCACCTGATTTAAACCCATGATTGCCGTGCACTGCACGTGATTGCAACACGGTAGTATGGCAATTATAGGTTTAAATCAGGTGTGAGGAGGTGCCCCTGGGCAGTGCCCGGTGATCTTTGACTTCTCCCATGTTCAGGTAGATCTCCACCACTTTAAGGTTGCCTACCCCTGCTCTAGAGCCACCAGATTCATTTTATAGGGCTCTGAATGTTACTAGGACCAATTTAGACAGGAGCCAATTAACCTACCAGCATGTTTTAGGAGTGTGGGAGGAAACCAGAGTACATAGAGAAAACCCACACAGGCACAGGGAGAACATACAAACCCCAGGCAGGTAGTGCCGTAGCTGGGATTCGAACCAACGGCCCTACTACTGCTAGGCGGAAGTGCTAACCACTTAGCCACTGTGCTGCCCAAATTATAATATCCATATCATACGACAGCAGATGACCAGGAAACATCCATTCCCAGATACCCCCGAGACTTCTTATGTGTCACTTATGGGTTCACAGCTATCATTCCCCAGCTAATGTTGCTGTGGAATGGCCTTAATCATCAGAGTGAGAGCAATAATTCTAGTGCCACCATTCAGTTAACTCTAAAATGGTAAATTGCAAAACATTTTCAAGCATCGTCTTTGTAGAATTTTGGGCACCGTAGTTTTTTGTGGCTTATTCTGAGTATGCAATCCTATTCCTTGACATGTTTGGTATCAATGTACTTGGCCTAACCTCATCTTTTATATACTTCATAAAAGATGACATTTCTTAAAATTCATTTTAGTGTATTTTTTTCCTGAAAAAAATGAGTTTGCTAATTTGCTGAGCAAAATATTGTGCAACATAAGCAATTGTAACTGGCAATATTTTATTCTTCAGGGTCTCTGCTTTCAGAAAATATATAATTGTTTGGGGATTTAAAGTAAAGTTTCTAGCAAACAATGCAGATTTCTAACGTGTGCTAAAAATGCAAAAAAAAATGGCCTCACTAGGCAAGAAGTGAAAGAAAAATCTATGCTAGCAAACGTACATAGTTAGTCTGGCTGAAAAAAGACACAAGTCCATCTAGTTCAACCAATAAAGGTCAAGCTGAACTTCTCCCGGCAGAACTTAAGAAAAGAAGGTCATCCTCCCAGGACATTAGCAAAAAGAAAAAAAAATGAGGCATACTGGCATTAGGAGGGGTTATCCTGGACTGGCCCCAAATTTTGTTTGCCAATGGCCAATCCTCCTATAGGCAGCAGTACAGCTCACAGGTCAAAATGGATGTGAAATTCTCATTCTATCCTATGTGACTGGTTAAAGTGTTACTAAGCCCAGGACCCTGCATTTACTATATCCAGTCTCCCCGGACCCTGCATTCACTATATCTGGTCTCCCCGGACCCTGCATTCACTATATCTGGTCTCCCCGGACCCTGCATTCACTATATCCGGTCTCCCCGGACCCTGCATTCACTATATCTGGTCTCCCCGGACCCCGCATTCACTATATCTGGTCTCCCTGGACCCTGCATTCACTATATCTGGTCTCCCCGGACCCTGCATTCACTATATCTGGTCTCCCCGGACCCCGCAGTCATTATATCTGGTCTCCCCGGACCCTGCTTTCACTATATCTGCTCTCCCCGGACCCTGCATTCACTATATCCGCTCTCCCCGGACCCTGCATTCACTATATCCGCTCTCCCCGGACCCCGGATTCACTATATCCACTCTCCCGGACCCTGCATTCACTATATCTGGTCTCCCACAGTACACAAAACATGGAAATGCAATTATTTTATTAATTATAAACCTCCAAATACCTTTTCTCATCAGCAGTATATGGTGGTCTTGTGACTTCATCAGAGCACTGTTAAAGCTTGTAGAAGGAGTTTTCTTTCTGCTCTAGGAGGATGCAGAACCCCTGACATCTGTCTGGACAGTGCTGATTGGCCCTGTGCTGATCACACGCACTCTCCCAAAAAAAAAAAAAAACCTCTCGAGCAATACACATCAAACTGAGCATGTGCATGCGACTAGGCTTCAGTCTGTCTTATCAGGTGGACATTTAAACAAGAGGAGGGGCAGAGAAGACAGGATCAAACAGCCTTTTTACACAATGCGGAGGATTAATCCCTTAGATTCCACAGTGAGTATAACAAGCATGCTTTACTGCATCTACAGACTGATATTACTGCTGATGGCTTAGTAACACTTTAACATCTATGTACTGCTGTTTCTTGTCATTTTTAAGATGGAAGACCATAAGGGCCTATTCACACTTATACATGTGTGTTACAAAATACATTAGGTGTTAATGGGCCCTAATTCTTGCTGCAATGAGGTAGCGAGCACAAGTTCTTTTTACAGGCCCAAAAACTGACAGTTTTGTAAAACTTAGCTGAACAGCAGGAGAGATCAGATTAAACAGACAGGTGACCAAGCATGTTTATCCAAAGGGATAGCAGGGAGACACTTTCTAGCCATGTTCTGAGCATGCAAAGCAATACTAATTGGCCAAGAAAAGCTTGTATTTGTGAACATGGCTTAATCGGGCCTAAGTGGTGCAGGAAGTGGAGCTAAATGGATACAGGGCTAAATTAGAACAGGGGGTGGGGATAAATTAGGCCAGCAGGTGGGGCTTAATTTCCACAGTGGGTGGGGGCTTAATTGGTGCAAGTATTTTTCTGTTGCGCTGGCTAGCTCGAGAAATTTTGTATTGCCTATATGGTGCAGAATACGGGGCTGAACTCATAAAACCTTTAAAAGAAAAGAAAAATAAAGGGCAGTGCACCCACTTTCCCCACTTCTAGTACTATGGGTGCTTTTAAAAAAAAAAAAAAAAAATGTGGGGTGGGGTTTATTTTATTTTTTATTTATTTCAGGTACTTACAGTGGGGCAAATAAGTATTTAGTCAGCCACCAATTGTGCAAGTTCTCCCACTTACAAAGATGAGAGAGGCCTGTAATTGGCATCATAGGTAGACCTCAACTATGAGAGACAAAATGAGAAAACAAATCCAGATAATCACATTGGCTGATTTGGAAAGAATTTATTTGCAAATTATGGTGGAAAATAAGTATTTGGTCACCTACAAACAAGCAAGATTTCTGGCTCTCACAGACCTGTACCTTCTTCTTTAAGAGGTTCCTCTGTCCTGCACTCATTACCTGTATCAATGGCACCTGTTTGAACTTGTTTTCAGTATAAAAGCCACCTGTCCACAACCTCAAACAGTCACACTCCAAACTCCACTATGGTGAAGACCAAAGAGCCTGTGGAAGGACACCAGAAACAAAATTGTAGACCTGCACCAGGCTGGCAAGACTGAATCTGCAATAGGCAAGCAGCTTGGTGTGAACAAATCAACTGTGGGAGCAATAATTAGAAAATGGAAGACATACAAGACCACTGATAATCTCCCTCGATCTGGGGCTCCACGCAAGATCTCACCCCGTGGGGTCAAAATGATCACAAGAACGGTGAGCAAAAATCCCAGGACCACACGGGGGGACCTAGTGAATGACCTGCAGAGAGCTGGGACCAACGTAACAAAGGCTACCATCAGTAACACACTACGCTGCCAGGGACTCAGATCCTGCAGTGCCAGACGTGTCCCCCTGCTTAAGACAGTACATGTCCGGGCCCGTCTGAAGTTTCCTAGAGAGCATTTGGATGATCCAGAAGAGGATTGGGAGAATGTCATATGGTCAGATGAAACCAAAATAGAACTGTTTGGTAGAAACACAACTCGTCGCGTTTGGAGGAGAGAGAATGCGGAGTTGCATCCAAAGAACACCATACCTACTGTGAAGCATGGGAGTGGCAACATCATGCTTTGGGGCTGTTTCTCCGCAAAGGGACAAGGTAGACTGATCCATGTACAGGAAGAATGAATGGGGCCATGTATCGTGAGATTTTGAGTGCAAACCTCCTTCCTTCAGCAAGGGCACTGAAGATGAAACGTGGCTGGGTCTTCCAACATGACAATGATCGCAAACATACAGCCCGGGCAACGAAGGAGTGGCTTCGTAAGATACATTTCAAGGTCCTGGAGTGGCCTAGCCAATCTCCAGATCTCAACCCCATAGAAAACCTTTGGAGGGAGTTGAAAGTCCGTGTTGCCTAGCGACAGCCCCAAAACATCACTGCTCTAGAGGAGATCTGCATGGAGGATGGGCCAACATACCAGCAACAGTGTGTGCCAACCTTGTGAAGACTTACAGGAAACGTTTGACCTCTGTCATTGCCAACAAAGGATATATAACAAAGTATTGACATGAACTTTTCATATTGACCAAATACTTATTTTCCACCATAATTTGCAAATAAATTCTTTCCAAATCAGCCAATGTGATTGTCTGGATTTTTTTTCTCATTTTGTCTCTCATAGTTGAGGTCTACCTATGATGCCAATTACAGGCCTCTCTCATCTTTTTAAGTGGGAGAACTTGCACAATTGGTGGCTGACTAAATACTTTTTTTGCCCCACTGTATATAGCGCTGTCAATTTACGCAGCGCTTTACATATATATTGTACATTCACATCAGTCCCTAACCCTCAAGGGGTGTACAATCTAAGGTCCCTAACTCACATTCATACATACACATACTAGGGACAATTTAGACAGGATCCAATTAACCTACCTGCATGTCTTTGGTGTGTGGGAGATAACCGGAGCACCCAGAGGAAACCCACACAGGCACAGGGAGAACATGCAAACTCCAGGCAGGTGGTGCCGTGGTTGGGATTATGAACCAATGACCCTAGTACTGCCAGGTGGAAGTGCTAACCATTTAGTCACTGTGCTGTCCATTTTCTATGGAAATGCTAATTTTACAGCAATTTGTAGCTTAGCGTTTGAGCAGCTTGTCATGCCAGAAACAATCGCTCTGCACTCATCTCTATGGCTTAGCTACAAATCACTGAAGATGCGGTGGGAATGGGGTGGGGTGGGGTGGAATGGAAAGGGGTAGGATGGAATGGGCAGGGGTGGGATGGGATGGGAAGGGTGGGGGATGGGATGGGAAGGGGTGGGGGGTGGGATGGAATGGGGTGGGGTGGGGTGGGGTGGGATGGGGGGGTGGGGTGGGACGGGGTGGGAAGGGGTGGGATGGGACGGGGTGGGATGGGACGGGGTGGGGTGGGAAGGGGTGGCGTGGGACGGGGTGGCGTGGGACGGGGTGGTGTGGCGTGGGACGGGGTGGTGTGGAGTGGGATGGGGTGGCGTGGGGGATGGGTGAGAGAGATCCTGGCTGGAAATAGCCCCGACGTGAATCACACTGAGCAGCTCCACAATGAGAATCTGCCGTTTGGTTGGCGTTTGTCAGGATGATTCCCAGGTCCGGTGCCATTCTTGATCCCTCCCACCCTGGACACAATATTGTCAGAATAATACATCATGCATTCTTACGTGCATATCAACAATTGAGCACAAACTCTTCCCTCGCCCTCAGAAGGAGGTAGTGCTGCCATGCTTGGGCTTCCACTTCAATGAAGGCCATATTTTTGGTGGTGGGTGTCATAGATTTTTTTGGTTTCCTTTTGTGCATTTTTCAGTGAAAGCTGGAAATTATTTTAAGAAAATAAAAATATATAGATAATCTCCTATCTACAGGAATATACAAAGAAAGTGAATCCATCCTGAGCTGTATTATAAGAACAGAAGAATGACATCATAAAACCGTTCCTCCGCTATGCGTCTTACTGGGCTAATCGCTGAAACTTTCCGTGTCGCTGTAGTCGGTGGACACGGCACTCTCACACAGGAAGGTGTAGGACTTGCTGAGGGGTTTTTGGTACACTAGGGAAGGGAACAGAGATAAAGGATCAGAGATACAAGATACTGCAGTAGATGCCCCTATATTTTCAAATCATAACATCCCAGTGAAGCACGCATTGCACACAAGTCCCTGCAGGTCCACTATCCCGTGAACCAGATGATCGATGTAAATCCATACAGCCTGCAACTACCTCTACAAAAACCCCTCCATATGGTCCATATATGTTCCATAAGGGTTCTTTCACACAGGTGTGCTTTAAAGCGGAGTTCCACTCACACTGTCAAAAAATAAAAGTCAGCAGCTACAAAAAACTGTAGCTCTTGACTTGCAAAAACAGCCACTTACCTGTCCCTTGGTGTGTCCCCCTCAGCTTGTTTCACCGGCCGTCCTGTATTCCAGGAGGCCGGCATCTTCAGTGTGGGCACCAGGCTGTGACAGCTTGTGGCTTCACAGCCGGGTACCCACTGCACATGTGCGAGTAGCGCTGCGCTGCGTCATGAATGGTCCTGTAGTCTTCTGGGACCTGTCACGTGTCCCAAAAGACTACAGGGAGGGAGGACACCTTCCGCTTCTAATCCCCTTAGGTGATCGGACTGGAAGTGGAAGCAGATATCTGTCAAATTCGGGTACCCGCTCGCTTTCCCCCAAAGGTGCCAATCCTTAATGGGGAGCAGTCCTTAAAACGGAACCTCCCCTTTTGGGTGGAGCTCCGCTTTAAGTCC